GATAAAGGTTTCAAACTGAATTTGAACGAATGAACCAAAGTTAGAGCTTCCAATGGAAAGATTTGAAACTAACATGCAAGTACTTTTTACTTTTTCCATTAACGAAACTTTCATTTCATTTATAAATATTGGTATATTGCTAGCGAACACTAAAGTAGAGTGATATATCATGAAACGGCAATATTTTTTGAACATCGTGATATTTTAAAGTATATTCTCTTGATATATCGACAAAGAGCCGCGGTGGCTTGGCTAGAGCATTCGCCTCCCAATTAAGTGACCCAGATTCGAATTCCAACGGTGACTGGTTGATACGAATTCTTCTCCCAGCTCGCACGAACCACAGTGCTGCCTTAAAATTTTCTCAATGATGGATGGATGCTTTCGAATCTCCTCGTCGCCGGGAGTACCGTGGGAGGTTTTCGTGGTTTTTCTCTCCATGTAACGCAAATGCGGGTTCATTCCATAAAATATAAGTTCTCCACGAAGGTAATGTTTGTCCCCAAGAAGGCTACTTTGTCTTTACTCTTGATCCAGAAGTTCCTTTGTCTTCTGTGTTAGGTTCAAAACTACGTGGCTACAGAGACGAATGTTGATAGTCGTAAACTTAGAATTTGATCGGGTATTCAACGGGTCGGGTATTCAATTCAAAATAAAATTAGACATATGGACAAAACACTATGATGCATACTGAATCTAAGATTGTAATCGATAACAATGAATATCGAAATAAGATATTACCGATTATGATTATTATTGAATACGATAATATATCCTTATTAACAACGATGATAAATAATGAATACTTTTTCAGTAATTAGTTAGACACGAGTCGTATTGACGAACCTATACAGTTTTAATCTCGTATTCAAACTCAAAAAAATCTTGCAGTTTTTTTTTTCTTTCATTATTTTAGATCATCACGTAAATGGGTGAAAATTACTCTCAAAGGTATAAAAACTGCGGAAATGAACTTAAAACCACACATCTGTTATAAGAATTGAGTGTTGAACACCATTGATAAAACTAAATATTTGTGTATGTTAAAGGTGTCATGAAGCTTTAGGATTAGCTTGTGCTTCCAAACCCTATCAAAAGCTTTAGTAAGGTCCAGCAAAGCAGCGACACTATGATAAGTGGGTTTAAGATTCTGGGCATCCCTGATGGTTTGTGCAAACAGTAGGACTTGATCTGCTGTGCTATGGCCCTTTCTGAATCCATATTGTTCTTTGTGAATTGGGGTAATTCCCTAGTTTGGATTTCAGATTATCTCCAACAAAGCTCTATCAAGGTTAAATATCATAAAACACTTTCTGATACCTATAAACTGAGCCAAGGAGTTCCCCAAGGAACCGTACTTAGCCCTACTCTGTTAACCCTTTATTTGGCTGGCATTGAGCTGGCAATTGCCTAGGGCACAAATAAATATTGGACTCTTTGCTGATGACATTACCCTTTGGAGCTCTGGAAGCAATCTGGATGACTTGGAGTCCACACTCAATGCTTCTTTGGAGTCTATCTCTTTATTTTCTCCTGCCCATAAACTTCCCTTCAATCTACAACTACCTTCTTCACTACAAACAAGCATTTGTATAACTACCACCCAAAGCTGGTCTTTGAGAACCAGGACTGCACGTATCATCACAGGTCTGAAACAAAGTTGCCCAGCCGATATTTTACGTTGCGAAGCTAACCTTATGCCTCTCCGTACCTGATGATAGTCCAGCCTGGTAAAATATTATAACAAGTTCCTCAGCTTTGAACAACATAACAAGACTTCTGACTCCCTCAGCAATTGGATTTTCTCCCAAAGGCTGAAGAAAAACAGCCCAGTTGGCCAAATTGTTTCTCACAGCCTCCTTGCCGATAATGTAGAGCCGCACTCCCTTCACAGTCCCTTGAACCCTTCTGAAGATCTTTCAGAAGTTTTCTGCCATAACAACCTACCCGCACCTGTCAATAAGAAGGAATTCCTGCCCGACCATCTAAAGCAGTGGTCCCCAACCTTTTTATCACCGCGGACCTGTCAACGTGTGATAATTTCACCGCGGGCCGCTGGGGGGGGGACGTTGATTGTTTATATTTTAGATTATTTTGATTTATTAATTTTAATTTATTTGTATTTAAAAATGCCTTCAAAATAAAACACAGTTACACCAAAAAATAAATATAAAGTGATTTAACATTTTAACTTACTAGAATGTTAAATTTAATGAGAACCCTGAGCTTGCTTCTTTGCAATGAGGCGGTTCCATCTGGGGGTAATCGGAGACAATGATACATTACAAACATTAAACAATTTATGTCACTACCTTCGGGGGCCACTTTTTTTTAAATAAATAAAATCTTAATGGAAAACAGATATTTTTAATTTAAACCTAGGAATTTAAATTCAGTTTCAACGAAATGGGCGGCCCGGTACCATTTGATTCACGGACCGGTACCGGTCCGCGGACCGGGGGTTGGGGAACACCGATCTAAAGTAACTGCATACGTGCCAACTTTTAATCCTTTGAAGGATGATTTTCCCCAGTGGTAGTAAAATGAAATTTAAATTACAATTTTAAACAGAAATATTCGCTGTATTTTGAGGAATCTTATGCGGATTACTACAATAGTATTGCATATTAATATATATGGTTAATTTATTTAAAAATAGTGGTGGATCAAAAATATTATAAATTAAGTTTATAAATGCAGGGAATATATCGAAAGCATACATTTTACTACCACTTTAAATATTGAAATAAAATTTTACGCCAAATGCGTAAAAGTTGGCAGGTATGTAAACTGGCTCTAGAAATTATTAACACTATTTCAAAACAAGACACCAAAATTTTCATTGACGGCAGCAAAATCGATAGTCGTGCTGGTAGCGGAATGTAGATCGAGACTCCTGTGGATAAATTTTCTCTCTGCCTACGTAACCCAAACTTCTACTCTGCTTTCAAAAGTTTTGCTATCAATAGGGGTCGCAGCTCCCTGCAACATCTCAGCAACTGGACACCCATATTGGCGACAAAACCAATATCTCCATCCTAAACAAATTAAAACTCTTTTCCCTTCAGCATAATATTCACCTGCAGTGGATTCCTTTTCACGTCGGTCTCTATGGCAACGACTTAGCTGACAGCCTGGCTAAAAAGGGTTGCAGCCATCCGCACCCAACCTCTTCTGATCTCACCTATCTTGAACTTTACTCCCTAAAGAAATCGTAGCTTCTCAGGGACTGGCTGATTCCTCCCATCCACCACTAGTACAAAGGAAATAAACCTGGAGTTTCTTTGACTCTTCCCTTTGAAAGGTGAGTCTGCACCACCCACTCCCGCCTAGCTAGCTGCCATCTAAAAGTTTTACTATTTTCTGAGGGGAACTAAAACCTACCCCCTCAACCCTACACAAGGCTTCCGCTGATCATATCCTGGACTGTCTTGGTCTTCTCTGGGAAGACATCTACTCTACTCCTCTTTTGGTCTTCAATGTCATTCAGGTCAACGGGTTCAGAGATCTGGTCTGACTTCGTCAGGTCAGATGAGGATAAGCAACAACAACAACAAATATTTGTGTATAAAGTTACAACTTGCATCTGTTTGAAGGATTTTTTTTCATCAAAATCAATACCACGTCATCAATTATGTTACAATAAATAAATATTCTAACTTAGTTTTGAATTTAAAAAAAAATCAAAAGCATTAAAATATATAGTCACGATATATCGTGTAAACCATCTGCGAACTATTGGCAACAATATTACCACAATTATGTTCTACGTCGATAAATAAGGAAAACGGTAATGTGTTAATCAATACTTTAATTCAATGACGTTAATTATTGAACACACTAATAAAGTGATAACAACCAACTACTTTAAATATTAAAAATGCTAATATAACAAGTATTATGTATAACGATTATTATAATTTATGATGAGTATCGATAACGATAATAATTGTTTAGGATATTATTGTCAGTGTTAATAATTTCACTTAGGTAACGAAAATATTTAGTTCGTAAAAGTGACCTAACAAGGTTAATATCATGATCTTTAGTAAAATATCACGATATTAAAATATAAATATATAAAATCGCGATATTTTAACATTAGAATTTTAATATTGTCCAGTACTTCCCAATATGTACTTAATATTTTTTGTTAGATGTTATAATATTATTCTTAATATTGAATTTAAAAAAATAATCATCGAAGTAAACTGTAATGACTTATATAAAAAGAACATGAATAAATATTTTTATTGCACTTTGATGTGTACCATAATTTTTCATTCCATTAAAAAAAATAACTTTTTTTTAAATCATAAAATGTTAAAATGTTTTGGAATTTTCTATAAAGATCCCATTAAGAATTACCTTTGACATTTTTATAAACCCGTGGAATCAGAAAGAAAAGCAACTTAAAATGTAAATTTCACTTTTATTACATTCATTTCACGTATTAATTTATCAGAGTTCATAAAATTTAAATGCAGCCTCATTTAAGATGGAAAACCCATTTATGAATTCTTGGCTTGCTTCCGAATTTTAGGTTTTTATTTTCCCTTTTTACATTCCTTTCAAACATACGTAAATTTTTGATTGCGACTGAAACGAATAATTTTAATAAAAAAGTAAACATTTAATTCAGAATCTTTTATTTTCAGAAAATATCTTCTAACATATACCTTTAGTACGAATAAATAATAAGTTGAGATTTAGTAAATGTATTAATAATATATAGTTAAAATAATATAATATGGAAGATAAAAAATGTCTATTTTATGACATGTATAGCCCTTTTCAAAAAGTTTTAAAATGCTAGGTGATGTTTTATTCAAGGCTTTTACTGGATGAATAAATTAAATGTGTTAATAATATATGGTAAAAGGAATATGGAAAACACAATTTTAAATTCCACAGTATATAAACTTTTCATAAATCCTTTAAATTTTAAAATCTTTCATGACGTTTTACCTTTTGGTAATATATTATAGTAATGTTTTTACCTTATCATTTCATAAGTTTCTCCAAGTAGTGGGTTAAAAGGCTTGTTGAGTCTTTCCCAATTGGAAGCGAGAGCTGATACAGCGAAAGCACTTAGGTACTGAAAAGATAAATATAACAATATTTAATGTGTTTTTTTCTTAAATTGAATCGGTCTGTAAAAAGAAAAAAAATATTCTAAGAAAAATAAAATATAAAAATTTTCATGAGTTGCAGAAATTGTTTGTGGCTCTTTTCTTTATAACATATTTCAAGTTTACATATTTCTTCAATTTGCACTTTAGGGTGTTCCAAAAATTATCGTATATTAGTAAAATCATTTGAAGAAAAATGGGAAAAGTTTGCTGCTTTCTGCTTAGGAAACGAGTTACTTTTTTCTCAGCCAATTTAAAAATTAATTTCACAACTCTTCAACAAATGATGTGCTGGAGTAAAAGAACTATAGAACATTCTTTCTGTTGCTTGTCAAACCATTCCAATATTTTATTTTATTTTAATATTTTTTCTTGTTCTCTTTTCATTAATCTTTAATATTTTCCATTTATATATATATATATGGTCTTCAATNTATGTATACATTATATATATATATATATATATACATATATATATATTCATTTACGATTTTAATTAAGTAAATGCACTTCCCAAACAATTTAAAAGTCTCGAACAATTTAAACTTTTAAAAATGAATAATTAATATTAACGATTAGTGTTTTATTCCTTTTTATACTAATCTGTAGCTAATTAATCAACATTTGAGGACAACAGCTTTAATATTGCGAAGGTCACCACCTCAATGAAAGGAATTTCAGTGACGTAGTAGAATTAGATCAACTTTTTATTTTTAAAATATTTCTAAATCTCTTCGCATACTTTATAAAACTAGAAAGTGCTTGCATATTGTATAAACGAAATAAGTTTACATTATCATATGCAAGCTCATAAACGTTTCTACTTTTTTAAAAGGTAAATGAAGAATTAACTATGAGAAAGCAAACTTATTGCAATAGTATTATTTAGTAATAAAGGCAATCGTCTTAGAGCAAGTGAGCTAGTTAATCAATTAGAACGGTAAGAAAAATTATTTTCTGTCATTTTTCATATGATATGCAATATTGTAATGTAAACATTTATGACTCTAGTAATCAGTTTATATTTTGTCCGAGCTTTTGTATTATTTCTAGTATAAACATGGTAATTTAAATTAGGTTTTCCTTAAAAAAAAATATACTTGTTAATATCAAAAACTTTTAATGTCCTGAATAATTCATTTTAATTGGCGTTTTAGTTTAACCTATTATTTAACCCTTCAACGCAGATGGATCATCAGTGTTCCTTTTATATATTTTTTTCTGACGCTCTAATTACAAGCATGAATACATTTTGATATGCTTTAATTTTAAAAACAGTCTAATAGTTATTAAAAAAATCTGTTAGAGTGTCGTAACTATATTTGCACTAAAATATAAATTCCAAAGAAAGTAGTTTGAAAAAAAAATTTCATTCATATTCAAAAATTTACCGTTAATTCATTTTTTAAATTATAGAAATTTCAATCATGAATAAATGTTTCTCTTAGATTTAAATAACCACAAATAAGTGAAAAATTTGAAAGATTATTGTTTGGTTAGTGAGCCATGTTTGAAAGATTTTAGAATTAACGCTGATACACCATTGTTTCATGTAATATTTCATAACCATAAATTATTGAAATGCTAAATACAATATTTTTCACTTAATTTGACCTAAATTAATACAAAATAATGAAAAAAGTATGAAAAATATGTTTAATGAAAATTTAATATATCTGCTACTGGAAAAAATACTAGAAATCTTTATCTATTTTAAAGGTCCGGAAACTTTCAATTGTACTTGATTTAAATTGTATTAATTCATTAGTTCATTTTGTACTAAATTAAAAACTTAAGTTATGCTGAAATTTTTGTGAAATGTTAAAAACTGAAAACAACTTTAAACATCAGTAGAAAAATCAATAAATAGGCTGAAAATTTTAATGAGCTGAAGTATTAGACTTAGTGAAAATTTTAATTGTAATCGATTTCAATTGAAATTACATATATTATTAATTTTAATTCGAATTAAATTTGAAACTTCAGTAAATCTAGAATTTTAGGAGATGTTAAAAACTGAAACCAACCATTCTGAAGCTTTATGAACGCAAGTGCTAAAATATTTGATTTATTGAAAACTATTGAACTTCATTTAAACGTAATTTATAATTTACCTTTAACATACAAGTATGATGATTAAACCAGAATTTTTTTTTCTGTTTCAGAGTAGTTGATATAAATGCTTGTGTAATTAATTTCGTTAAAATTAGAAATAGTCGAACCATAACGGAAACAAAAATTGGACCATTTGACAAGCAAGAACCTTTTTCAATATAAAAATTAAACTAGTCGATGAACATAAAGTGTAAACAAAAATCAAAGATACTTAAGATAATAACTCAAAACGAATGTTTTATGCCATAGTAAACAGTAAGTTTAAACATCATAATCAAAATTTAAAGGGAACAACTTGCTTCACTGGCTCCAAAGATCATTCACTAAAGTAAAAATTTATGAGAACAGTCGAAACTACTTCAAATTTACATAAATTACTTAAACGTTTATTTACATATTAACAATTCAAGACTTCAATCCGGTGTGAAGCCAGGTGTTACATTGGGTGTCAAGGTACACACATATGTACATTATATGAACATTATATGTTCATTTCATCATATGTACATTATATGAATATCATCTGTACGCTATATGTATATACATCTGTACAATATATGCATCTCAAATGTGTGTATGTACGTACGTTATGCATGTCGAATATATGTATGAATATAAGTAAAATATAAATACGTCCAATGTACGTACAATCGTACACAAATGTATTATGCATATTTGGATACATACATTGAGCATTAGCATGTTATGTATATGTACATAAATACACTGGACATGCATATCATGTACATGTATACATACATATATTGTACATCCTACAGATATACCTATATTGTACATGCATACATATATTGTACTGTTCATAAATAAATTGCACATACATGCATGGGACATACATTGTACAGACAATGTATGTATGTTCGTACAAACACAAGTACTTGTATATACATGCGTACATGAACATAGATATACATTTTACATACACAAATATTTGCATAAAATGCATATATTCATTGTGTATAAATGTACATGCCTACATTGTTTGCACATACATACGTAATTATTATCTATATACATACGTACATATATTTTATACCTACAATATAAGTGTATGTACATGTGTGTGATACTAAAATGTCTGAACATATGCACTAGATAAAATCATATGTACATACATTTCAGTTACATTCATTTGTACGTATACAAATACGTACAAAATGCAGTACATGTTAATACGTGCAAAATGTATCATTATAAAATACATTCTACTATCTACTGTAAAATATAATCATTTATAAGAATACAATAGTCTTGTAATCGTGTAATTAGATTACATGTAATCATAATTACATGTAATCAAATTACATGTAATCAAATTACATGTAATCATATATTTTGATTACTTGTAATCATAATTACTTGTAATCGTTTTTGTTGTGATTACTTGTAATCGCAATTACTTGGAATCATGATTACAAGTAATTGATTACTGTAATCAAAATTGTAATCATAGGTTGTTAATATGTAAATAATTTTGATTACAGCTGTAATCAAAATTTTTTGAAATTTGTAATCATGATTACAAGTAATTGATTACTGTAATCGACTATGTAATCATGATTACAGCTGTAATCAAACTTTGTAATCACGATTACAAGTAATTGATTACTGTAATCAATATTGTAATCATGATTACATTTTTGGCCGACTCTGGTGTCAAGATAGGCGTCAAATCAGTTGTGACTTCAGACGTCGAATCAGGTATGAAGGCGGATGTCAAGTTAGTTGTCAGTTCAGGTGTCACATTGCATGTCATGTCAGGAGAGTAATAGTTTACAATCGCGCCCCCATTTAGGTATTTGAAAACAAACCAATGTATATGAAAATGAACCAAGAACCAATCATATTACGATAAACAAAAGTTGCAGCAACTCGAAAGTGACGTCATTGAAGGAAAGACAGCAAAGAATATCAAGATAACCAGAAACGGGGTTTCAGCACTACTGAATGAAAATTATCGCCAAACCAAGGAGCCCCCCATTTCTGCTCCTTAAACCCATTTCGAGTCTTATATTCGAAAACCATAATCAAGCAGATCAATCATTTGGGCCATCATGTTCAAACACCACAGTCACAGCACAGAGATCACGCTCTTTAATTCAGCATCTAATAGCAATTTTATCCTTTTTTCTTCTCTTCTTTTTTTTTTCTTTTCTCTTTTTCTTTTCTTTTGGCGATAGTCTAGGCATTTGGTAACCATCAAAGTGTTCAGATGTTACGATAACTGACAATCGAAAAAGTTTATCTGGACTCCTCCTTCACTTCTTTCCTTTCGATCCATCCTATGCTTATTTACTTTGTTGCATCGCATGTTCCATGTCCCTATAAGAACTCTGTAGATACATTAGAAAGATTACATGCATGAACTTGCACTATAAAGTTCATTTTCATACATGAATTTTGAAGACGCATTATTTGTCCCTTATCCCCGATACTTTCGAAAACATCAGCAACTCAAATCTGTGAACTATCTTCGAACACTTTTAAGCCACTCGGTAACGTCAAATTATAATAAAACAATTTATCAAAGAAAATTGATTCAGTGGATAAAGTGGCACCAAATATTTATTTCGAATGATTGAAATACGGATAAACAATGCACGGTATACATTGTTGCACAGTTAAACAATTAAACATAAATGTATTTTTAAACAACTAAATTATATCAAGTAGTTTGTTTTGTATAAAATATGCCAGCAATCAAAATAACGGTTTTTTATGAGTTGGCATTATTGAGGAGCTTAGTAGAAGAGACTGGTTGGTTCTGAATGGAAAATGTTCTCATGACTTAATGAAATAGATAAATTGACTATAATACACGGCAAATTCAACC